GATTCCCCAACAGGGGGGGAAGGGTCGTATTTGGATGCCAGGGAGGGGGGTTTCGTATTGGGCTGAGGAGAATTTACTTTGATAGTTGAATTTTCAGCTTCAAGGAGGGGAGGGGGTCGTACTTGCTCATTTGAAAGGCTGGCGGTCTTTTTTTGGGCTTCCAGGAGTGGTGGTTGACTTTCGATGATTTTCCTGTTTTGCGTAGTATAATGTATACCCCCCCCTCCGCCGACCAATGATGTGCCCTGACTTCTGGCGCTACGCACGCACGTTTTAACTAGGAATGTGGTTAGTTTTCTACAGCAAAAGCTTGAACAACTTCAGAGTAGGTAGTTAACGTTGCAGGTCGCTAGGAGCTATTGTTGACGTCAATTTAAATAGGGGCTACTTTTCCCATTCACCCGTTTGCGACCATGCCGACAGCTAGAGGTAGATATCCAATTAGGACTCGGCTACCATTCTTTACCATTTTCCGAACTGAAAGCTCGATCGTGGATAAGTTTTGCCCACTTGGTGATGGGTATCTTCTTCTTTCCGAATGACTCGATTGGGCACCTCAAAGGGGCACTCGCATTAGCACTACAATTTTACGAGGAAATGTTGTCTTTGTACGACTTTGAGTGAAAAACTGGGCTGGATCAAGTAAGTTCAAAAGGTCATTATCGAGCATTGGGCTAGAATAAGCCTGTAACGAAGACGGCAAACAGCAGGAACTGCAGCTCACACGCTTTTCAAACACCATTATGGGTAGGACTGGGAATTATCCAACGTGGCGTTATAAACGTTTCACAGTGTGGGAACAATGTCTGCTTGTTTAGAGGTACAATTCTCGTCTAGCCGTCGAGAAGTTTGTAGGCAGTGGTTTCCAAGGAGAAAACATGTGTGCTGGTGACGTACTCGTTTAGAAAAAAGGTGAGGAAATGGGGGGAAAACGAGGCGACAGGACTGAATTACGACCAGATAAGAGGAGCGAGAGAGCAAACAAAAGAGCGAAACAACAGACATTAACGCGGGGTGGAGTCGCTTGCGCTCTGGTGGCACTTGAGGAGCCTCGCTCCTTGAGTGACTTCACTAGAGTCATGGATTTGGCTCCTGTAAGTCACCGCGGAATGTGTCACGTGGTTTAACTCGCCTGCAATGCAATATGGTGATTTTATATGGTAATTAGTGATAAAAGGCGAGGAACCGATATATAAGTCGATGCCTTTATCCTCCCAGACAAACTCCTTAGCGAGTTAGCTCCCTGGTTGGTACAGGGCTTGCGTGGCCTGGGCTGGGGCCGACCCAAGATTTGAGTACTAAGTGGTACACCACGACCATCCGTGGTAATTGTATGTAAGCAGAAACATAAAAAAATCGGGTTATCACTTAGTGGCGCGACCAAAATAAGGGAAAGCATTATTTTGGTCGCGCCACTAATTGAGGGGGGGATGCATTACCTATACGCCACGCCTCTTAGTACCCACTCACAATCGTAGCGTCACTTTAATGCAGTTTAAACCGCTCAGCAGACGGGACATTGTTTTCATATTTCCAAACGAAACGGAAACCAGTGAACGGAAGAAAGTAAGTGACCCGAAATATGCATATTTTGTAATTGACGACACATTTACCACTGCTA